GACCCAGAATGATCCCATGAGGCACCTGAAGGAGAGTGAGGCCTACCTCCATGGGGGCATGCCACTAGTCCCCTGGTGAGACAGATGCTGGAAGAAACTATCCCTGGGATTGTGCGGAGCACCCACAAACTCAACTCCTCCCTGCTGGCCTCCTGGCAGAAGATTTATATTATAAATCCTTCTGTTTCTCATATATCATTGTTCTTGAGAGGACACTAGTCTCGAAGACACTTCTCAAGAAAGCAGATGGTGAAATCATGCAGTTCCTAAAGAAGTGGATGAATCTGCTTTTATGGGCCAGGATGAGATCCTGCTTATCCCCTGTTTGCAGAGGGTTACCAGTGTCCTTCATATATAGGACACCTCTGTAATACTGCAGTAGTTACCCATGCCTTCTGCCTACTGACCTGCCTTGATCTGGTACACAACATTGCTGCTGGTGCCCTGAAAGAGACCACCAAAAGGAAGATTACTAGGCCACCATCCAGCAAGGACCAGGCTATGTGGCCTCCAGCAACCAGCTCAGGAAAGTTTAGATGAGGTGGCAGGGACTTTGTAGCCTCAGCTCCCCAGCAAGGCACCATATGGTGCCTTGGGAAGTGCATCAGCTCTATATCAGTGCTCTAAGAAATGGTGTGAGGAGCGGCAGGTGCTGGGGGTCTTGATAATCCCAGCCCCCACTGACAACCAGATCACTATTGTTCCTTGAGAGGTTCCTGAAGGATGCTATACTGCCTAAGTACATATATGACCTGAAGGTGAAATCTGACCACGACAGGGTCCTTGAGGTCACCTCAAAGTGGCACACCAGCAACCACTTCATGCTCTATGGGAATTTCATGTGCTTTGCAGACTGGTGCTTCATCCAGTGAGCTTGTCTCAAATGCCTGTTGGCGTCATCTGATACATCTGATGGGATAAGAGGTGTCAAAGGTGCGGCTACAATAGTGAGACCGTGCTTCATATCTTGTGCAGCTGCAAGCTCCGTGCAAGAGCGTGGCAGTGGCATCACAACACTGCACTGGATCATTTGGTAAAGGCCATCTGAGCATCAGTGGGAATGGTAGCCATGAACCACAGTGTTGTAGGCTGTAATAAACAGAATGGGGTGCACAAACAGTAGGCCTGTGCAAAGTGGAAAGTGTTCACATTGGATTCAGATTTGGCAATTCGGAGGGATGTTATTCGATTCAGTGATTCGAATCACTGTCCCGATTCAATTCGGCCAGATCTGAATTTGAAGATATTCCACGCTGAATCTTATTCGACCATAGGCTATACAGGTAGGCAGTGCTGGCAGCCATGGGAGAAGCTGCAGGGGCTGGGGGGAATGATTGGGGAGCTGGGGGATCAAATTGGGAGCTGGGGTGAGGCCCCTGCTTGTTACCCCAGTCCCCGGTCATTCCCTCAGCTCCCGGTTCAATTCCCCAGCTCCCCAGTTATTTCCCCCCAGCCCCTGTGGCTTCTCCTGGGGCTGCCAGCACAGCCTGCTTCGCTCTAGTGGGGATACAGGGGCCTGCTTCGCTCTAGTTGGGGTGCAGAGGGGGCAGCCAGGGAAGCAGCTGGAAGAGTCGTGGCTTCTCCCGGGGCTGCCGGCTCAAGCTGGGGCTTGTCCAGCTGCTCCCCCATCTGCTCCCTCTGGCACTGCCGAGTGTCTGCCTGTACAGTCTATGGCTGAATCTCTCCAAATCACTCTGAATCAATTTGGAGGCTTCCTATTCAATTCAGAGAGATTAATGGGTCTCTTGATCCGATTTGGATTTGGAACTTGGCTGCTGAATTGGGCCGAATCACCTCCAAATTTAATTGGCTACTGAAACTTTGCACGGCCCTAACAAACAGAGTTCTTAGAAGTCAAAATCTTTTTATTATGGCCCTGAAGACTGCTTTTGGTAGAACAGGGACCCGATTCCCAACTAGGCTATTTAGACACTACCATGGTTCAAACTTAAAACTTTATTAGAAAATGTTAAAAATGCTGGCTGTTTACATGGACTTATAGAGATGGAAGAGAATACAGGACCTTGTGCATGGCAGCTACATAGGTTCATAGATGGTACGTACTGACACAATCTAAAACATGCTGTTTGTCATGCAGCTTATATTAGCCTCGGGGTGCAGATGTAGGATGCAGGACTGTCCAGTCACATATACCCTGATCAATCAGAAGTAGGAATGGGATCTAGAATATTCTGAGTTCAGTATATTCCAAAATAAAAATTAAATAAGTTGAACATTGATATGGATGCATATTAATAGAAAAATGCTTTCAAATCTGAAATCTTGATCACTAGTAAACTAGTTTACAAAACTAGGATGAAATATAATTTAACAATTTACTACTGTATAATAGCATATGAAACATAATGAATTAGGAAAATGAAAATAGAAATCTGATTTGAATGTAAAATGTCATAAACACCTCCCCAAAGATTTAAACTTTGGAAAAAGAGCTTTAGGTTTAGTGCAGGCAATATCTTCCATTACTTTTGATTCTGCAAATGTTGCCCACACCTGGGCAGGCTGGAAGAGCAGGTAACAGATATGTGGTGATCTGACTGTGAAAGCTAGCGTGCAAAGTACAGTTGAAATTATTATTCCTTTTTTAAATATCATGTATAGCATAAGTTTTACCCAAAACATTCTCGCACGTACCAAACATCATTCCATAGAACTGCCTAAACAAGTTTGCTCTTTATTTGACAATAACTGCAACTGTAGTGTGCAGTTATTGTCAGCAGGTAATTTATGTGTGACTAGCACCCTGACATCTGTATAGGATTTGGATGCCATTATGCTTACTGCAAATACAAATCTTGCGTCTCCCTCAACCTCATGACCATTTATCAGCAGCCCCTGCTGAAGTAAGAAAGGAGTGGCTGATACTGTATAGCACCTGTAATGCTATGGTTAAATCGGAGGTGTCTGTCCTTACCTTTCCATTTACTGTACTTTTCTTTTAGATTTTTATAGGTTAGAAATATTGCTGGCCTACTTTTACAATTTTTTGTTTATTACTTTAGTGTTGGAGAACTGTAAAGTCCTGCACAAGTATTTTAACCAAGCCTTTCTAGATATAAGAGCAGGCTGTTTCATGTTGCTCCTAGTTTCTCAAGGCCAGGGGTGATGATGGGCACAAGCCTTGGAAACTTAGTCCTTTGAATTGTTTACTGTCGTAAGTACAACTCCAGGAGGTTTCCCCTTGCAACCACCAGCCCTTGACAAATAACTGTGTCTAAATTTGGCTTTATAAAAACAAATTTTCAGGAATTCAAGTTTGACTGCAGGCTTTTGAGAACTTTATACCAATATCTGTATTGTAGCTTGACCCAAACAAAATGCTTGTGGCACAACATGAGCACTACCTAAGTGAATATTGCATATCATGGTGATGCACAAAATATAGGGTATAAATAGCTATTGCCCTTGTGCTGCTATAACAATTTTTATGTTGGTAGAGAGGGAAATCAAACATGTCTATACTATTTGCCATGCCATAAGTGTCCTAATTTATATCTCCAACTAAAGGGTAGTAATAGTTTCTGCTATTTTATTGCAGCAGATGTCTGTTAGCTTAATAGTGTGAGAATATGGGCAGTCCAGAGCTGCCCACACTCTCCAGCTGCTCCGGGCAGGTGTTCCTGGGTCTTGAGGGGCCTGATCCAGCATGTCCTAGGAATTCCCATGAAGGAGCGGGCCTCTTTAGCCCCGAGAGTGCCTGCTTGGCATTCCTTGCGTATAGAAACTCGTCCCAGATGTTTCCCAGGGTGGGTCTTTGTAAATGGAGAACTTGTTGCCTGTTGTGTTGCAGGATCAATGGGTAGAAAACGAGGCTATATGTTTTGTCCAAGACATCAGATCAGCTGGGCTGGGTCGCATCCTGTCACAGCTGATCTGCTTCATTGGGTGATGTCTGTTATACCCTATAGTCACATACTGCATGTGCCCAGTTTCTTTTTTACTTTTAAAAGATGATACATGTGCAACTATTTTGCATTAAATACTTTAAATGTTTTCAAATATAGGAACATCGGAATTTGCCTTTCATGCGTGAGCTGAGGTATCTATTTGCACTTCTTGTTGGCTCAAAGAGAAAGTATGTTGATCCATCCAGAGCAGTTGAAATTCTTAAAGATGCTTTCAAATCGAATGACTCTCAACAGGTAACATTTAAACATTTATAAATAAAATTGGTCGGTTTTTTTGTATGGCTGTCTCTAACAAATGTTTAATATAACATGTTTAAAATACTATATTAATTGCTGCTGGTGGAAACTGTTTCACTTTATTCTCTTTCTTTTGATTGTTGTCCCCATGGAATATGGTATGATTTCTTCGGAGTGTCAGTTTTAGACACACACACTCTCTCCACATACCAGAGCAAAACTTGCAAGTAGAAACAACCTGTCATTATCTTTGTTTTTAAATTAAAAGAACAAAAACATGTAATAATTATTTTTATCATTCAAATTATTAAAAGACTCACATTTTAGAGTTCCACATTCAGAAGTAAAATTTGGAAGTTAAATGGAATTAATAGCTCTTGGAAGAAACTTATTTTTGATACCTAAAGAACATTTTGGGCAGTTGTAGTCCTGATATGGTTTTTTCCTAGATATTCATTTGGAGGGTTTTGGTACTTGTATTTTCTTTTGGTTTTCTCTAAATCTTGGCTATCTTGAGAAGTATTTTTCTCCTTTCAATCAGTTTTATCCACATGAAGTTATGTCGTTCAGTTATTAGGTTCTAATTCATTTAGCATACTGAATTCAGTATTCTATGTAGGCAGCATCAGTCGGCCCTTGTCAGATACCCGAGGGTTTAGACAATGAGGTACATGAAATGCGTTGGAGCACCACGGTAGGTGAGCGGTGGTAAGGATTGCAATGCAATCTGGAAGCCACCTGTAGGAAACAATTGTCATATGGTGTTAAAATGTTTTGCTTTTGGAGTTCTTGAAGTTGAGTAACACATGATTGTTTTCTGGAATACACATAAATGTTTATTAATCTTTTGTTGTTTTTAACAGCAAGATGTTAGTGAGTTCACGCACAAGCTGTTAGATTGGTTAGAAGATGCCTTCCAAATTAAAGCTGAAGAGGAGAGGTGAGAGTTTTCTTCTTTGTAGGAATGGCATTTATCAAAATGTTATAATAAAAATAAACTATCATTTAAAAAAAAAACCTATCATTTAAACTGACATGTATCCATTTATAATTACCGTTTACTAGTGGCTATTGAGCAGTTGTCTGTCCAGTTGATAGTAGTTTTGTCTACCCCACATTTTTCTGATTTGTTTATAAGGAGGTCATGTGGGAAAATTTGTCAAAAGCCTTGCTGAAATGCAGACACACTATATCCACTGAATTTCCATCCAACCAAGTGTAGTTACTTTGTCGAAGAAGATCAGATTTGTTTGGCACTATTTATTCGTAGTAAATCCATGCTGGCTACTCATAGTCGGCCTTACCTCCCCCATGTGCTTTCAAATGGCCTTCCTTAGGATATGCTCCAGAACTTTCTGGGTATTGAGATGAGGTGAACAGGTCTGTAGTTCCCTGGGCCTACCTTTTTGCCTCTTTTAGAGGACATGTTGGCACATGTCCAGTCCTCTGGCACCTCACTGTCCTCCATGAGCTAGTAAATATTATTGACAAGGGCTCCAGCGTCTCCTTTACCAAGTCCTTTAGTATCCTGGAATGAAATTCATCAGGCCCTGCTGACTTGATTTCATTCAGACCCATCAAAAACTCTCTGACTCTCACTTCATCCCTCTGCTTGCTCTCTTCCTTATCCAAATACTTGTTATTAGGCCTCTGGTTGCAGTTTAAACTGAGGCACAGTAGCTGTTGAGTAGCTCCTCCTTCCTTGCATCTTCTGTTAAGAGTTCCCCCTGATGAGTTAACGCTGGACACATAGCTTCCTTGGTTCTTCTTTTCTGACCAACATACTTATAGACCTCTTCTTGTAGTCCTTAATTTCCTTTATCAGGTGCACCTCTGCTTTTCTGGTTTGATCCCTGCAAGTTCTTGCTGTTTCCTTGGATACTTATTTGGTGACCTGCCCATCTTTCCATTGTCTCTGTACTTTCCTTTATTATTTGAGGTATCCTAAAAGTTCCTTGTGCAGCCTCATTGATCTCTTACCATTCTTCTTTTGCTTCCATCATGTTACAGTGTTTTCTTGTTGGGCTTTCAATACCACCCCCTTCAGAAGCCTCCCATCCTCTTGGGTGCCTTTCCCTTTCAGTCTGTCTTCCTATGGCACCATGGCTATTATCTCCTTGAGTCAGTTGAATTTTGCCTTGTGAAATCTTAGTCTGTTAGTTCTGACCTCATGGTTTCCTTGTCTCAGGATCTGGAATTCTATCATACCATGATTTCTTCCCCTCAGGTTGTCCATCATCTTCATATCTTCCACCAGTTTTCCTATTAGTCAGGACAATATCCAAAATAGATGATCTTTTAGATGATCAGTGGTTTTCTACCTTTTTAGACTCAAGGTACTACTTCATAACTTTTGTGAATTGAGTTGCATCCTATTTATTATATGGCTTCCTGCCAAATAGGGCAGGCAGTTGGGGTGGGGAAGAAATTAGGCAGGGAGAGCCTGAGCCTACCCTTTATCTGCTTATCTTCTCACTGTGGCACCCTTCAAATGATCTTGTGGCGCCCCACAGTGCTGCAGCACTATGGTTGAGAATCTGCGCCCTAGGTATATTCACTACCTTCTGGAACAGAAAGTTGTCCTTCATACAAGATAGGAACCGGATTGACATTTTATGTTTGTTTGCATTGTTCTTCCAGAAAAATGAAGTCTTCCGTAAGTACTGTCTTATAACTTTTGGATAATTTGTCATTTCCTTGAAGAGTGCCTCATCCATCTCCTTTTTCTGACTTGGTGACCTACAACAAATCCCCACTTCAGCAGTGCTGTATCTTTCACCCTTTATCTTCACCCAAACACAATTTGATCTGTTGTCGTCTTCCTCATGATCCAGGGAACAACTATATGTATTATTTACACTCAAGGCAACGCCGCCATCTTTTCTCCCATCCCTGTCTTTCTGGAACAGATTGTAACTATCAGTGTTGACAGTCCAGCTATAGGAGCTGCCCTGTTAGGTCATAGTTCTTTTCACAGGCTATGGCTTTGAGCCCATACTGTTTATTCTCCATCATTCTCACATTTGTGTACATACATTGGATATATTTTGTAGGGGTGCACCAATAGAAATTTTGGGCCGATACCTTTGGCTGATTTTTAGCAAGCCATATCAGCCAATACCTGTCCGATTCCAATATGGAGTCGGGCAGCATGGAGAGTGGTATCTGGCTGGTAAGTCTGTTGCGGGGGAAGGGAGGAAGGAAGGGAAAATGGGTGCGCAGATCGAGGCCCTTGTGTTGAGGGAGGGAGTGCGGCTGGGGCAGGGGCAGGAGCTGCCCAGCCAGGGCAGAGTGCAGGATGGAGCCATGAGTGGCTCATCTAGAGTGCATGGGGGGGCAGCTCCTACCACTGCGTGAACCCTGGGAGGGTTTGAGGGGGGGTGCCTCCGGATCTGTGCGGGACGAAGGCAGGCTGCAGCTGTGGGCTGGTGCTGAGGGCAGCACTGGGCTTTTCCCGGCGAGGGGTCTGGGCCAGGCTGTGCTTGGGGCAGGCGGCAGTGGCAGTGCTGGGAAGGGGACTATGGGGGGGGAGACAGGACTGCAGCCACTCCAAAATTTGCCATAGTCCTCCTGACCACCCTTCCCAGAGCCACCGCTGGCTGCCCTGAGTGCAGCCCTGGCTCAGCCCCATCAGGAAGAGCCTGGTGCCGCCCTGGCCCCAACCCGCAGTGGCAGCCCGTCCTCACCCTACACAGATCCAGGGGCACCCCCCCATGCCCTCCTAGGGTGCATGCAGCAGCTGGAGCTGCCAACCCTCACCCCCCTGTGCTCCCGGACGAGCCACTTGTGGCTGCATCCTGCGCCCCACCTTGGCTGTGCAGCATCTGCCCTAGCCCGAGCCCCACTCTCTCCCTCACCATGGGGACCTCGATCTCTCCCCGCCCCATGCCCCCTTCCTTCACAACAGGCTTAACAGCTGAACCTGGCTTCTCTCCACACTGCCAGGCTGTGCTCCTGGCTGCCCATGTGCTGCACTGCAGCTGCATATGCGCAGGGCATTTATTGGCCCCATTATTGGCCACATCAGCCATAAAAAAGCTGATTTCCAATACTGTCACGTTTTCCTTATATCACTGCTGATCCGATATGGGACCGATGTATTGGTGCACCTCTAATATTTTGTGTTCCAGTCTACCCACTTCCCTTCTGTGTCATTTTTTTGCTGTCCTTTGGTTCTCTGCTCTTTTCACAGCATGGAGCTGTTGCTTCTAGTTCTTTCCCCTCTACATTGTTTGTCCTGTTGCTGGAGGCTTTGTTCACCATCCTCCATGGAACCTTATTTAAAGCCCTCCTTATTATGTTGCCCATATGATCCCCAAAGGTATTCTTTCCTGTTCTGGTGAGATTAATACCATCTGCTGATACCAGTCCTTCTCTCCAGAACATCCATCCATTTTTGAAGAATCCAAAGCCTTCACGTTGACATCACTGTCTCAGCCATTTATTTACTTACATGATATGACTGTCCCTTCCTGGGCCTTTGCCTTCCAAGGGAAGGAATGATGAGAACACCACTTGTGCTGCAAGCTCCTTAATCTTCCTGCCAAGAGCCTTACAGTCTCTTCTGATCTGCTTGGTGTCATTTCTCGCAACATCATTAGTGTCTACATGGACAGGTGGGAAAGGGTAGTGGTCCTGGAGATGGATGAGTTCTAGTGGTTTTTCAGTAACATCCTGAATATGGCCTCCAGGAAGAAAGCACACATCCTATGACCTGAAATCTGAATGACAAATTAGTGCCTCTGTACTCTGCAGAAGGGAGTTGCCAACTATCACCACTCTTTTCTTCCTTCTTGCAGAAGTGGCCTTAAAGCCTCCATCCTTGGGGCCCTGCACTTCATGCTCTCTAGACTGCCTAGTCCTCTGGGTTCTTGCCTTCTGATGTCCTTATCTCTGCCTTATCCTCAGCTGTTCCACTGCAGAGTGCTTGAATATAGTAGCTGACTTCAGTCTGTTCCACTGGAATTTTGGGGACCCTCTTTCTAGTAGCCCCATGTTGCCACTCCTCTTTTGGCCTTTCCAGTACCAACCTCTGACCACTCTAATTCAAGAAATTGTTAAGTTTTCCTTACATCTATGTATTTATGGGTGAGGACACAATCATATATACTTGAGTGTTTTAACTTTGCTTTGAGATAAAAGTGGAGTGGGCACATGATGTACAGTCTTGTGCCAGTGTAAGTCACTGCACCCATTGGAAAATGGAGTAAGTGGTCCGTTAATCTGTTTTTGTATTGTGTGTCTGGTCTTCTAATTTGTTGCACCCCAAAGTAACTGTAAGCTTGGGAGAGCTGGCCATGTGTCCACTCCTTACTGCTAAATAAAATCTTTACTAAAATAGTAGTTGTATTTCCACAGCCTAAGTATTTTGAGTGCTGTCCTATTCCATTCTGGTTAAGACAGTGAAAAACTGATAGTACTGTGCTGTACCTTCATTTTAGCCTTAAGGTGACTTGAAGAAGGACACTGTGCCTGGAAGTCTGCCTAATATTTCTACCAATTATACAGTTGATCCAAATAAAAATATTGCCAGAAAACCCCCTTGCTTTCTGTATATCTTTCTGGACCATCATGGCTATAGTAAGAGTCCATTGCTATTCTTAGCCATAGACTGTTGCAACAGCTGGGAGGAGGTGGAGGAAGACCCATCCACCTTTTGTGTTAATGTTTTTTTCAGGGAATCAGAGTTGAATAGGATTTCATTTAGAACAGGATCTATCCTTAGGATTTTGCTCTCTTTTTATATTTTGGGAGACTTAATGAACTTAATGGCTAGGGATGGACATTCAAAAAGCCTGAGCCTGAATTGATTCAGTCTTTGCAGGTTAGTCTAACTTGCAAAGCTTGAACTGATTTGGAGGTGGATAGACATTCCCTTTTCATTCCAGAAATACAGGCATATGCCTGCAGTGGCTCAGGCTAGATGCCCGGGGGGGAGGGGGTGTGTTTCTACAGCAGTCTTCCCTTCCCTTCCCTCCCCTTCCACAGGTCTGAGCTGAGCGAGGTGTGGCCAGGCCCCGGCAGAATGCTGTGATCTCTGATTAGGGAGGGGGGGTCATCCGCCCCCCCACCCCCCCAGCTGCTCCTGACCAACAGGGAGCCATCTGGGAGCATTTTGTTACACAGCAGGGAGTTACACAGGGAGCTGATAGCATTTTTCAGCCCATCAAAATAAAACAAAAGGCTCTCATTAAATCAAGCTCTTCTTAAATAGCTTTTTCCAAGAAAAAAATGGAGGGACATTACCAGCTACCTGTTCATTAGCTCTAAAAAGCCCTAAATGGACACTGTCTTGTCTGCCTTTGTCCTGTCTCCCACAGCACAGACCATAGCCAGCATGTGATATGGTAGCTAATGCTGGGAGGTGTCTGTGTAAGGCAGAGAGGAGGGGGGAATCCCTGCTTGAGCAGGGAGCGGTATGGGGTGGGGGGAGCATGGTGGGAAGCAGGAGGAAGCCAGGCAGATTCCACTGTACCTGTAGTCTCTGCTGGAGCTCCAGCCAGGGAGCAGAGGGGCAGGGGCAGCCCTGCTGAGCTGGAGCAGAGTGTGGGGCCCCAGCCAGGGTTGCAAAGCATCTGGGATGCTGAACATCTGCAAATTGTACCGTTTAAATGTTACAGGAGGGTTAGAAGAAACTCTTTTCTCCATGTACATTTTCAGCCAGCTTGTGAATTGGTTCTGGTTTAAAATATGCACAGAACTATCCAGAATAAAATGCTTAATAAACTGCACCATGTTTAGTTCCGGAATACATCTTACTTTTGTAAATATACTAATCTGCATTACCATTCAGTTAAGAAGTAGAAAGTTTGGCTGTAGCACAGTATTTCACTTTTAATAATGTTATGTTTTCTAGTATGTGATGTCATTGTTTTTTATCATACAATTACATATTTAATGTTTTTAGGGATGGAGAAAAGCCAAAGAACCCAATGGTAGAGTTGTTCTATGGACGATTTCTAGCAGTGGGTGTGCTTGAAGGTATGAATTTTATTGTAATTCAGCTAGAAAAGCTCTTTATTTATACTTGTTTAACACGTCTGTACATGTCTTGTTCCACAGAAATATTTTTTTAATCAAAAAGCAATTTTGAAATGAACATTTTAGTGTATGAATCAAGGCAATATGGGGGTAAATATGTGAAGAATCATGAGCTCGGAAGACACTTTTGATAATTTCTAATAGATTTGAAATGCTGCAAAATTTAGCGGGGGGTGAGTATAAATTCCCTCTGTTACTGAGACTTGACTGACAACATGGTTTGAGGTCATTATTTCATTAAACTGAGCAGGTCTTACTTTTGCTTTTTGGTGAGCAGTTCCCTTTCTTTTTCTTTGTTTTCTTTTTTAGCCCAGTTAAAAAAATTAATTACTCTGTATTGGACTGAGATGTTTTCCAGTGTTTTCTGAAAAATTGCAGCACCTGTCACTTTTGAAGGACTTACAGACTATCCTACTATCTGAAACATCCTCTTTCTGATGACTTTCCCACTTCACTGTCTTCTTTCAAATCCATCCTCCAAACTCACTGCTTTGCTTCAGCGTTCTTACTCCTGCTCTGCACTCAGATCAGATTGTTTTCATTTATCACCCACATGTCAAGGAAATTGGTCATGAAACTGGACTTCTCTGACCAGAGAACAAATGAAAATGAAATAGTTTCTTTTTTTTAACCTTTTGTCACCATCATTTCTCTCTCTGAGTTTGATGTCCTTCACATTCATTTTGCACAGATGTGTAATAGTCTTAAGGTAGAAATTATAAATATCCCCTCTTATGGCTTAATGCTGTAGAACTTATTTTTTCAAGTCATTCTTTATCACATTTTATTGTCTTGTGACTCTACTGATACTGTGCAGTTTTATTTAAGAAATCCAGGGCGCATCTATATGAGACACTTTACTGTGCAGTAGAACAAATTACTGCATAGTAAGCATCTGTGTCTACATGTACAGACCCTTACTTCGCAGGAATTTGCTGTACTCAGCAGTTAATTTGCTACTTGCAAATGTTAGTAGTAGATTAAGTGCCTAGTACTTAATGCACAATAAGGCAAGTGTAGATGGCTGACTGGAAGCAAATTTACTCCGTCAGCTGGGCAGCATGGGGTGGGAGATTTGTTCCCTGCCCTTGGGAGCTGCCTACTGCCAGGATAGGCTCTGCCACCAGAGCCCAGGTAGGGACAGTGTCACCCTGCCCTGGCAGCAGGGAGCTCCCAGCCCCCTCCTTCATGATTACGGAGCAGGGGCAGGGAGTTCCCTGCATGGGGATAGTTCCCTGCCCAGCCTGGAGGTGTCTGGGGTCTGCCCCTAACTGGGATAGTTCCTGGCAAGCCACGTGCTGTGCAGGGAAGTCTGCATGTGCAGCCTGGAGTTGGCTGGGGTTTGTTTTGTTTCAGACAGTCCCCAGCCAGCTCCAACATGCAGACTTCCTTGTGCATCCCAGGGCTGGCTAGGAACTGTCCCAGTCAGAGGCAGGTCCCAGCCCCATGACCTAATTGGGGGTCGAGGCATGGGGCTTGGAAAGAAGTGCAGGGAGGGGGGGGCAGTTCCCAGCCCCTCCTCTGCAGCTCTTTCCAAGCCGTCTGGTCCCAATCAGGGAGCTGGAGCCAGGAGCTTCCTGCTGCCAGGGCTGGGGGACATTGTCCCTGCCCGGCCCCTGTCCCCGGAGCCTGCCCTGGCTGCAGGCAGCTCCTGGCGACAGGGAGCAATCTCCCAGCTCCTGTCAGGAGACAGCCGTCTCCTGACCCTGTGCTCCCCGTCAGGCCCTGGGCTAGTACCCTGGGGGAATCTAGAGGGTACTGCGGAAGGCTGGTGCAGACTGCTTCCAGGAGCAGCAAATCTGCTCCCAAATGGGCACATGTGTAGATGCCTGCCCAGGGTGCTGAACTGGCAATTACTCTGGAGTAAACCCATCCAGCAGTATTTGCATATGTAGATGTGCCCACTGAGAGGTTATTTTGTATTTCCAGAATTGGATCTTCATTTTATATTTGTAAAACACTATGCACATCTGTTGAGAAGTAAATGTAATTGTTAAATTGCCTAATTGTATGCAGGTACTAACTGTAGTGCTTTAGGAGGAAAATATCTAGTCATTTTAATATCTGTCTAATATTTCCTCTCCAAAGCTGTATATAATTAATTTGCTCATGACTACAGCATAATATGGAACCAGCACTGGGAATTGCAACACACTTGAATTGTAAGAAGTTTAAATGATAAACACTTATTTGTGAAACCTGAACTGTTAATATCTCTCTTCTGCTCAGGTAAGAAATTTGAAAACACAGAAATGTTTGGCCAGTACCCACTCCAGGTTAATGGCTTTAAAGATCTGCATGAGTGCCTAGAAGCTGCCATGATTGAAGGAGAAATTGAATCTTTACATTCAGAAAACTCTGCAAAATCTGGTCAGGAGGTGAGTTAAATGTTTTGGCTCTTCTAATGGCCTTTTTGATGTAAATCAAGGGCAAGGTTGTATAAATAGACATTTCAGGTCCCCCAGATCACTTGAAGGTACTGCTGTCATCACGCGTGCCATATTATAAATAATGCTCTAGTAGTACCTCCTGTGTATGTATGTGTGAGGAGCAGTAATGACTACCACCCCACAACATCGCAACCCAGAGAGGCCTATACAGAGTCTCAAAGTTATTGGTAAAACTTGTGTCTGTTTGCTTAGTGCAGTCCTAACTGAGCCCTGGAGATATGCTGCTGGTTTTCAGCAGACTCTTGGTTTCTGGAAGGACACTGAAGGTCTGCTGCCACATTCCTGTTTGAAAGTAGTTGGCATGACTAAACAACTAGAGCTGTACAGCCAGCATAGGCTATGACATAGTTTGTGACACATTTTGCTGCCTGTTGCTGGTGCTAGGTCCATGCACTGTGCTCGTTTATGTAACCCAGCCCTGTTGTAGTTTACTTAATATAATTTGCATATTCCAACATGTCAGGTTAGAGCAGGGGCAGGCAAAATATGGTCTGCGGGCTGGATACAGCACACGGGCATCCATCAACTAATTGTACCCTGTCTAGTCCTTCCATCCATGAGGGTGGGAGTGAGGCACCCAGGCATACCCCCACCCCCCGCCAACATACTCTGTTGTGCCTTGCTTCCACCCTTGTGGGTAGAAAGGTCCAGCCCAGCCAGCATATGCTTCTAGGCTAGGCTGCTGCTTGTACTACTACGGCCACCCCATGGGACCTTCTTGGCTTCACTGGCATCCCACTTGCTCCAGGCACCAGGTAGGGAAGCAGTTGGGGTAGAGGGAGTTTGCAGCTGGGTGGATTGTGGGGTCTGTGCTGGGGGGGGGGCCCGAGCTCGGTTGGGTGGGGTGTGGATATGAGAGGGGGTGCGGGAACCCCCCATACACTCCACCACATGGCATGCAGCCCCTGCTGCCAGCAGCAGTAGCAGGTGGGGGCGCTGGGGCAGGTGCTGGTGCCTGGCAGTGTGTGGCTCCAGCCAGCGCTGCGTGTGGGGGGGAGGAGGGCAGCTTGCCCAGCCTGCCTTTATCCAGCCCTGTGCTGTAGCTGGCTGTCTTCCAGCCCCCTGCTGTGCAGGTCCCGGGGCTATGCTGAAAGTGGAGGGGAACCCTCGCCCCTGCTTCCCCACGGAGTCCTGGGACCTACGTGGCAGGGGGCAAAGAAGGCAGCCAGTGCCAGCCCAGGGCTTAACCTGGAGTTGTACACATTCTGTACGTAGCCCTCGCAGTAGAGGCAGGCTGGGGAGGTTGCACTCCTCATCCCCATGTGCAGCACTGGCCAGAGCTGTGTGCCATGGGGCGCAAGCGCCTGCATGGGTGCAGCAAGGGCTGCACACCATGTGGAGGAATGTATGAGGGGGTCCCCATGCCCACCCACCCTCCCTCACACCCTCACCCTTCTCTCACAACCCCTGCACATACACATACACTCCACAATATACCCTATGCCCCCCCACACATACAGCCACACCCCTTCACGGCCACCCAACACCTCACCACACACATACCTCACTACATGCCCATGCGCGCACACACACTCCCCATACCTCACCATACACATACTCCAACCACACCTTGCACCCTCCCCCACACAATATACAAGAGTAAGACTTTATTTTTGAGTTAGTATGCAACCCTCTCTATATGCACTACGCAAACACAAATCATGACAAATTTTTTGTAAGAAAATTAAAATATGTTGTAGTAGGTGTTTTACTGTTAGCGTATGATTTGGGGTTTTTTCTGGTTCAAAGATGGCAACCCTCCCCTTCCAAAAGGAGTATTTCTGGGGGGCAGGGGGAGGAACATCTGGTGGCAAAGGTCAGGGGTTGGGGGGTGGGACTACCAGTCTCCATATGGTGACCAGGGGGTGGGGCAACCCATGCAGCCCTCGACAGGTCACCAAAACTAGTTTAGTGGCCCTCCACCCAAAATAATTATCTGCCCCTGAGTTAGAGAGAGTGTTCACATGCCACATGGGGCAGGCTAGTATTCAAGAACTGGATTCAGTCCTTTTTTGCCTCTGAGTATTAAGCTCCAAACTGATCTAAAAAGGTGGCATAAGGCAAGTAACACTTTTGTCTTTAAGGTATAGATGATAAAAATGCACACTGTTTTATAGTGTATTTTAAGAATCTGATTTTTTTTTCTAATTAGGGCAATGATGCTTTATCTTTGAATTCAGAAAATGTAGTCCCTTTAGAGCAGTCTAATACACTACACCTTGAATACTGTGTGTGCTTCTGGTACCTACACGTGAAGGGTACAGGAGAACTAGGAAAGGTTCAGAGAATGTCAACAAGGATGAACAGGGGAATGGAGACGCTTCTCTCTGAAAAGGGACTACATAGGTTAGTGCTTTTCAGCTTAGTGTAAGGATAACTGAGGGGCAAGAAGGGCTCAGTGGAATATGATAGAGGTCTGTAAAGTCATGAATGATAGACAGAAATATAGAAGGATTTGTGATCTGTCTCTCAGTACTAGGATCTAGAAGACATTGAATGAAATGCATTAAAGAGCAGGTGTAAAACAAACAAAAGAAAGTTCTTACACAGTGTGCAGTTAATTTGTGGACTTGTTTTAGTTTGAATGTGCAGTATACATCATGATAGTCTGTTTAATGGACTTTGAGGCAAGAAGCAGTCCTTCAGTCATTGGATCCATATATCAGTAAGATAGCATGTTTCTTGCTACTTGCAGCAGCCAAGTAGTCAGAGTCAAATCAAGCTTTCAGAGGGGAGGGTAAACCTAGTAAGGTTAATTCCAGCTCCTATTACAAAGTAGCCATGTTTTCTTGTTTGAGTTACTCTGTATATTGTAATGTCACAGCTGTGGCAAGTATGTCAAATCCTTACCAACTCTTTTCTGGTCATGTTAGGCACTAAATTCTTAGGTAGTTCCTCCCTTCTTTTTTGGATACATAGCAGTAACAGGCTGCTTGCAGATGTTAAAAAAAAATCCCCCCCAAAATGGCGCTTTACTTTTAACTCCATGCTCCCCAGCATCGAATCCATAGGATTTCCAGAAGAAGTATTGCATTAGTTAGATCCAGCTTGCCTAATGTCTTTATAGATCACGCGCTTTAGTGGGGCTTTTTTGGTGCTTTTATCTAATTGCTGATTGAATCAACTTTAGATAAAATCGCCAAAAAGCCCCGCTGAAGCACCTGATCTATACAGATGGTGTGGAGCCAGGTCGGAGCAATGCGCTGCTTATTCAAGTAAAGCACTTTTTGTTTTCCCTTTTTTTTTAAAGGTCTGCAAGCAGCCAAAATGTTACTTCCTTTTCAGTGATGTCAGAATAAATATTAGCTTTTAATTACTACACTTAACGAACATAACAAAGGCATCCTGCCATTTGAAAATATAATTTCCTGCTTTCCAATATTGACAGAAGTTTAACTTCTTTTCTGTAATTTCTTTTGCCATCAGCTGTTGTTTGTCAAATTCAGAAGTATCTGTCCAATTTTCTACATGGGTGCCTCCTCTTTTTTTCCTTTACAGATAATATTTTCCATCTGTTTTGTTCTGGTCACCTGAGTAAATAAAACTTAAAATTAATCACAAAGCCCAAGTGTACCACCTTTCCTAAAGTGGACTCTAGCAAGTAATCAAAGACCTCACAAACACTTCACTGCAGTGCAAAATGCAATTTCTTTTTGAAAGGTTTGGGCTGCTTTGTTGTTTTCATGAACGCATGTAGGTTTATTTTTTGGGTTGCTGGATGCTGCACAGTCTATTTTATATTGTCCAGTTTTACATTTTGTCGTGGTAAGACTCTGGAATTGTTTTATCAACTCAGCTTACCATTAGGTAGGAAGGCAGAAATGGAACAGCCATACGACACATCTCAAAGAATTGTCAACAGCACTAAAGTAAAAAAAGACATTATGTAACTCACCCAGCATGGAAAAAGTGATGCACAATTGTTAGAGTCTGATATGACATCAGATGTACAGTAGATTAGTCCCATTTCCCAGGGATGCTATTAAATTTTAGGAATTAATATTATTTATGTAGGGGTTACCCAATGAATACATAAGCACAATTACTAAATAGTAAAGGATATTGAAATGTTGCTGAATGCTGACTTTCCAAAAGTTTTAATAAAAAAAAATCTACCACTTGAGAGGAAAGCCTCAGGACAGCATTTGTCCTAGTTGGTGACGTTAGGAAGATAAGACTTGGCAGCTTTAAGAGCTCTAGGGTAATGGAACTTCTGTGATAAATACTGGAGACTTCTGCTCTAGAGTAATTTTCTACTAATTTTTCATTTTCTGTTAAATCAATTGGTGTTTATTTGTACCATCCTAGTGCCTACCCCACTGCTGTGGTTCAGTGGTAGAATCCATGTCTGCTACAATGGAAGTCTGGGTTCAGTTCCTGGATGTGCACATAACTACAGTCATCAAGGCCCCAAATATCTGGACTCAGTGTGGCCTTTGGATTCTGTCTCAATGGTCTAAACAGGGATTGGAAAGTCGGGGGAGTCTCCACTCCTCCATACTCCTGTCTAGGCATATGAGTTGAAGGTCTGGGTCGACCTCACATGCATATAGCATGATACAGAAGAATCAACAGTTGCCTTACACAGTGCCTAAGAAGTCTAGATGTGGACCAGGAGCCTGTTTCGTTAGAAGCTGAACAAACAAGGGGAAAAACCTTTCTTGCCCCCAGAGAACCGAGTATAACATCAGAGTTGTTAGGGATAGAAAAGTGGTAGGCTGAAAATAGTCAGTAAAGGGACATGAAAGACAAGTTGTTAATATTTGTGATCAGAGAAAGGAGAGGGATACAAAGAGAGATGATATTGTCAAAGTGACTGGCTAGGAAAATGATCTTAGAAGTAACATTCTACATGGGTCTGAGCAGAGCAAGACTACATTCGTCATGGTCAGGAGAAAGGATATTGTGGTCATCAAGATATAAAATGAGTGTTCTGACTGTGTGGATAGATAGTAAAGGCTGTGTCATAGCCTAGATGTAATGGTGCCTAAAGGTAGCCCTGAGTTGGAGATTACACCCACACTTTGGATATTTGACTGTTAAGCAGTATGGTGATTTTTTCCATAGTAATCACCTAGAGATAGCAGGAATAGTTTGGGGAGGAAAAGGTAAAGAGTTGTGAACCTGTGTTGATGGCTATACATCCACCTGATGTCAACAAGAGAAGTGAAAACATCTTTTTGGTTATGACACCATGGAGCCTGAAGATGGTAGTTGAACCTTCATAGAAGCTGGAGGATTTGGGAAGGGAGAGAATTTGCATAAGAATGGATTAGGGAGGTAGCAGAATTAGGAGAGGACAGATCTTCGAGAGCCAAGGAAGGTCAAGATTTTGTAGTCACCTGTGTTGAAAGTACCTGATAGGGCAAGGAGGATTGGCTAGATCAGGGGTAGGCAAAATGGCAGATCTGGCCAGCGGCCAGAATCCATTTCCCAGCAGCCCCAGCTTGCACCACTGTGGCTGGTTTCTATGAAGACCCCAGCAATGGCAGGGTTGTGACAGCCCAGGGCCAAGGTTTCCATGGAGACCAGCCACAGCAGCACTGGCAGTGCGCGCAGCTAGGTGGGGAGCTGCTTTGGGGCTGGGGCTGGGATTTTGCAGCTGTGACTGCATTGTCTGGAGCCAGGGCAGAGCCGTGATCCAGGCAGGGGCAGATCCAGTTGGATAGTGGCTCTGCCCGTTCTCTGGACCACACTGTCACTGCCACAAGATCCCAGCTCTGGCGTGGAGCAACTCCCTGCCCAGCTGCACACCCTGCCAGTGCTGCTGGGGCCAGTCTCCATGGAAATGCTGGCCCCGTGCTGTCAGGAACCCATCACTGCTGGGGTCTGCATGGAAACCGGCCGCGATGATGTGGGCAGGAGTTGCTGGGGAATTGAGTCTGCCGCGGGCCCGATTGGGCCTGCAGGCTGGACTTTGCCCACCCCTGGGATAGGTAGAGGTAATTAGAGACTTCAGTGAGTGCGGTGTCAATGGAAAGCTTGGGGAGCAGAAGAGACTGCCCCTAATTGAAAAGACTGTAAGATGGAAGCAGAGGACAGGAACTCCAGGAAGGTAAACAGGAAATTCCATGACCTCATAAATGAAATGAGAATTAGAGAGGCAAGTGGGGCAAAGGGCCAGATTTTAACAGTAGTGTAACGAGGAGTATGTGGTGGGGGCACAGGAGTGGCAGCACAAGTCGATTAAGGGGTGGGGTGCTGGAATGGAGAGTGGGGAGCATTGGAAAGGACTCATGTTGCTGCTCCAGCAGTCACAGGCTCAGGCTGTATGGAGCGGTGCAAGGAGCCAGGTGATAACCCAGGGAGGCTTTAGGGTTCTGGCAGCTTTGTGCTTAGGAGAAAGAACATGGAGATGTTAGCTATAAAGATAGCAGGTACCCTCCCCTCCCCTGACTCCAAATTAAAGGTTTTATTTCTTTGCTTCACATGACCTTCAGTGGTGCCTGCACCTGGGGGTGGAGTGGGGGTGCAGACAGGTGAGAGCTTTCTGTTTGTGGGAGAGAGCCTTTGCCCATGGCTGCTGGGACCCTAGAGCCACCTTGGCTCCACCCCTTGTCTCCTTCCCCCTCTCTCTGCAGCTGGAGCCCACAGCTGCCAGGACCCTAGCACCCCCTTGTCTCCATCCCCTGGGTCCTTGATACCACCCGGAGCTTGTAGCTGCTCAGGGCACAAACCCTACCAGGTATGCTTCTGCCCCTTCCCCTCTCCCACCCTTCCTTCCCCCACTTCGCTCTGCCCAGGGTGCCAAAGTAACTTGATACACCTCTGGATTTTTAAGATGGGGAAAGCCAAGGTACGGGGGAGGTTGAAATACAAATTGATAGTTCTGATTTCAAATAACACTGAAAGATAGGGCCTACAGGAAGTTTATATTGATCCATTGCCTAACACCTGTGTTTTCCACAGTGTTGTAGCAACTGTGGAAGTATTGTGGAAAAGTGCGACCAAAATATTTTAGTGTGATTGAAAGGCATTTACTACATGTGTTGTATTTTGTTTGTTTCTTATTCAGCACTGGTTTACTGAACTTCCTCCTGTCTTAACTTTTGAGCTCTCAAGATTTGAATTTAATCAGGCTTTGGGAAGACCAGAGAAGATACATAACAAGTTAGAATTCCCTTCAGTTTTATATTTGGACAGGTACAGTATAATATAATAAGTAAAGTCTTAAAGAAAGCCTTTATAGGCAACATCTCATGGAACTGATTAAACTTTCCATTTTTCAGACACTAAATTATAATCAGTTATGTTCTAGAGAGAATAATTCAAATTTTAATGGTTTGTAACAACCACTTTAGGAAGTATGTGTAAATGATAAAATTGTATATATGCTCCTATTACCATGGCAGTGTTGTTTTTGACCCAGATAAATGGTTAATCCAAACAATTGTGCCTTTATACTACGTGTTGTGTTACATCAGTGCACACAAAAAAAAGTTGGCTGCTATTCCTTTGTATTTAGGTAATCTATCCCCAGTATAAAAACATGCAGATGAAACCTGGGGTATGCAACTCTGTAGAGGGTTACCCACTGCCATTTGACAGTTCTGTTCTCACTGCCAAAAAATGTGCTTTACTGGTTTACAACCACGGTGTCAAACTCAGTTCAGTTGGCAGCTGCCTTCTGTGCTTTTCAGGTGCCCGTGGGCTGCACTCTGGCTTTCACATTTTAGATACTTAAGCTATGGTTCTGTTACTGCAGCCAGAGCCAGGGCAGGGCTACCCATGTGGGCAGCCTTTGCCCCAGCTCTGACTATGGGCAGAGCTGGGGCAAAATTCAGTGGGCTGGATGACTCCGGTTCTGTGGGCTGGATCTGGCCTGAGAGACATATCTTTGACATCTCTGGTTTGCAAGAAGGCTGTTATGCACAGATGTGAAACATTTAGCTATCACTATGGGTGGTTTCTAACCAAATATTAAGCAGGTTGTTTGTGGGCACATGCTACTTGTGTGTCAAAATAGTTACTGTTCAGGCACAATTAAAGCCATTCTTTTTATAACTGCATAAAAATTAGTATAGCAAGGACTAGTTAAAAGCATGTTTGATATGTCAATATACCTCTGAGAATTATCAGCTTTTACATGCAATACATGCCAAAATAAAGCTTTAAAATATACTTCTGGTTAGTAGACAGACAAATGTAAATGTCTTATTGCCTTCTATTTTACATTACCCTTTTGATGCTTTGTAGTTGAAAGGTTTTAGTGAATAATTTTTTAGTGGGTAGTACAAGTACATAAGTGTTTGACATAATTGCAAATTCATTGTTACAATACAAAGAGCAGCTCATTTTCTATTTTCTTGATTTGACAGATACATGCACAAAAATAGAGAAATAACAAGAATTAAACGGGATGAGATCAAGAGGCTTAAAGAATATCTTACAGTTCTACAGCAGAGATTAGAACGGTACTAGATATACTTGCAATTTGGTTAGAATACTTAAGATTGAATTATGTGTTACGTGAATAATTCCTTCCATCCTTTTATATTTAAATACTTGTTCCAAACTGTTGTATATTTCTTTTTTTTTTCTTATCCGTTCTCTTTGAAATGTCTGTGGAAGGCTTATTTAAGTGAAATAGTTTAATGAATGCAGCTTATTACAATAGACTCATTTTATTTTAATTATAATCTGCCAGAAATCGTATTTTGTTGTGAGTCATTGCAATAATATATTTTATGGTTAACAGATATTTAAGCTATGGTTCTGGTCCTAAACGATTCCCCTTGGTAGATGTCCTACAGTACGCATTGGAATTTGCATCCAGTAAACCTGTTTGCACTTCACCGGTTGATGATATTGATGCTAGTGCTCCCTCTAGTGGTACTATAACAACACAGACAATACCAAGGTAAACCCCAGGTATCATTTGTGTTTTGATCTATGTTTATGGTTTCTGGTTTTAGTTATTCATTTTAAGAAAAATTCAGCTCATTTTTAGGCAAGAAAGTGTATATATGGTATAGAGATAGGCTTAAAGGAAGAGATTCTTCACTTAAAATGATTTTATGTACACTTAATAAAGATGAGTCATTTTAATTATCTCCCAGAAAACCTGAGGGAGTTTAAAATGTGCTTTCCCCCCACATATTTATTTGTGAATATGGTAAAAATTGTTTATAAAAAATTGTCAAACGTCTTGCTGGCAAATTATCAAATTCAAACTAAAGCCAGAAACCATACTGTTGTCTCTGTAAAAATATTTGTGTGGAAGAAAATGGATCTATGACAGTATTTTACAATAATGCTAACTCATCCATTTTTCCACTTCGTACGTGTGATTCTGATTTGAAAGATTAAACTTTCCTAAATGGTGTGGTATGCTTTGTTTATGAAGAGTGACAAGTATAATTTTAAAACAAATGCAAAATCTTAGAGGAAACCAGGGTAAAAACCAAGCTATCTGGAAAAATATTGTTGTAGGCATCCCAGAATTTGAACAATATGGATTTGTTGCATTACTTCAAGGTATTATCTTGAATTTATAACTGATCTGCATATCAAATTTATCAGTTCTACTTATGCATTGCTGCCATTTAAAAAAATATTCTGAGCTAATTAGCAAGGTCACTCTTAGGTTGCTAAAGGAAAAGTCCAAATGCCCGAGAGATACTGGTTAAATTATTTCCAATTTTGTACCACAGTGAAGTCAGCAAAGTTAACAGATGTATAAACTGGGATGTATAAACTGTCAACAAATAAGTACTTTGATCTCAGACTCGGATGCAGAGGTGCCAGGTCCCATTTTAGCAAAGCACTGAAGACATAGTTAACTTTAAACCTTTTGAAAAGTCTTATTGAAGTAAATGAGCCTCCACAGTGGTAAGACAAAGTTCTCAGGTGTTTTTCTGATAATTCATTACTCATAAGTAATAGAGATACTGCCCATTGATAAAACAGAAGACAGCATCTAAACACGTAGTATTGTTTGCATGCTGGGGAAAAATAATGCTTTGATGAGTAAGACTGTATATTGAATTTACTTAGGCAAATATAAGCATTGTAACTTTTGTACCTAGGCATAACAACATCAAACTGTGTAAGCTAGAGGAGGAAAAAATCAGTTATTAATGTTCTTTGAACTCCACAAATCACCAGGCTCTCCATCAGTGGTGTAAATAGGGCAGGACAGCTGGTGCCAACTTAGAGGGTCGGGGCAGAAATAAACGTCTGTGGTGGCAACCGGAAATCGGTGCTGATGTTTCTTCCAGGAGGGGCACGTTTTCCCTGGGAGAAATGAAGTGAATGCTTATACAGTTGTGCATTCTACCAAGAGAACAGCGATTCTCTCAGTAGAAATGTAATGCTTGTACGTGCCCAGATGTTTTTGTCATAAGGTCAGTATGTTTGTCATAAGGTCAATGCGTTTGTACTCCTCCATAATGCAAATCTAGGGAAATGACATAGGTATCCTAGCTGCTGCCAAGATGGGAGAAGAACAAAAGGAAAGCAGTCTTTGAGTCTATATCCATAAAATAGAGGCTTTGTTGTTTTAATTTCTCACTGTTGCCATCAGTGGAGGCAGTGCTGGCTGACTAGTTACTAATGCAGGCAAACTGCTGAAAACTTCAGTAAATCCTAGAGGACATGGTATTAAAAATGTCACAGTCCTGCTCAGTATAAGAGCTCTGTTGCTGCTAGTTCTGTTAAACCAGGTGTGAAGGATGAAGTTGACTATGGATATGGCATAAGGAAGCCAGTAGTTAAACATACTAATGCTATTAATTGATTTTAGGGTAAATTAGCCACAGTAAGGCAAAATATCTATTACTACTCTTAACTTCAGCAGTATATGTTTTGAAGGACCTTGGTTTGAGTTGATCAATTTTGTGCCACCCTGTGGAGGTTCTGATTGGTTTTGAATTAAATAAACTCTGACTCGGACAGTCCATGACATGTATTTCATGGACCATGGGTAAGCTAAATTATTATGTGCTAACCTCTTTGACATACCACAAAGATATGGGAAGTCATATAATAAATCATTTTATGTTAAAATTTCTCTCAGTGGATTGTGCTTCTTTATTAAGAGAATTATTGGTTTTGAAATATAAATGTTCAGAATAAAAATAAAACATTTATGACTTAATATTTATATTTAATCTCCATATGACTTTGAAATCATTTTTTTCTAGCTTATAGCTAGTATAACAGGATGTTTCAACTGTCATGTTTCATGTTTTACATAAATATAGCACAACAGAGCAACAGGGGCCTTCATCTTCAGATATACCAAGCACATCTCCCATACAAAGATCAGTAATACACAAGCCATTCACACAGTCCAGGATTCCTCCTGACCTGCCAATGCATCCAGCACCAAGGCATATAACTGAAGAAGAGCTTTCAGTGCTAGAAGGCTGTTTACATCGCTGGAGGACTGAAGTAGAAAATGACACTAGAGGTACTATCAAAAATGTGTAGACTGTGTAGCAGCAAACTGGAAAGAGTCAGTGAAAATGCACTGATGTGGGCGAAAGAAAAACTGTGCTTGTACGTCTTCAGTATTTTTCCATAACTCCTACTGCTGCTTATGCACGGAGAAATGAAGGGGGAAAAGACCCTAGTGCTAACAAAGCTGTTATCTGGCTCTGCTGGTAAAGCATTCACTTGCTCAAAATCTTGTGAATTGATGTTATGTACTAGAAATTGGGCTTTCAATTTAGGTAGGCATTGCGGTGTTGTGTGATATCAAGGTTGGAGAATAGAAGAGGTAGTCACAGTGTTAGACTTCTCCTGCTGCTGTATCAAAGAGCCTTCCGCCTTATGCAGCTGTCAACAGTAGGGGTGTGTGAAACGAGCCATATTCGATTTGAATTCGGTCTGAATCGGGGACAGTGCTTCAATTTGTTGATTTGGATCGCTGTCCCGATTTGATTCAGCCGAATCTGACTCTGAAGATTTGATGCTGATTCGGAGAGTCTTTGATTCGGCCATAGATACAACTTCAAATGTTTTTTCTACATACCTTGAGGTACCAGGTGCAGCTCGTGAATGCTGCAGTGGTGGGGTGGATGGAGCATCCCACAGGATTGGGGGGGGTGGGGCGCGTGCTCGGCAGAGAACCCGGAAGTGGACCGGAACTGCTTCTGGGCCACTTCTAGGTCCACCGCCGAGTGTACGGGGGACTGCCTCCACGGCTCAGCTATTGGCCGCAGGGGGACCCCAGGTCCCCCCCCAAACACAGGAAGCACCAGTCGCTGAGGCAAGGGTTCCCCCATGCACTCCCCGGCAGACCCAGAAGTGGACCAGAAGTGCTTCTGGTCCAGTTCTGGGTCCGTGGCCGAGTGTGCTGGGGGACCCCTCCACGCTCCTGTGGGACGCTCCATCTGCCCTACCATTGCAGCATTCATGAGCCACCTGGTACCTTGAGGTATGTAGAAAAAACATTTCAAGTTGTTTATGTCCGAATTGTTGAATCTCTCCGAATCAATTTGGAGGGTTCCAATTCATTTGGAAGAGATTAAAGGGTCTCCTGACTCGATTCGGAGATTTGGTTGCCAAATTGGGCCGAATCTCCACCGAATCAAATCGGCAACCAAAGCTTCGCACAGCCCTAGTCAACAATGAACTATGGTGTAGGTTATTTACAGTTGCAGTCCACGTGCTTGGGAGAGCTCATGGACACCTTTGTGTGTTCGGGGAACAAGAAAGGGCACTGGTTTCATGAACAAAACTGTGAGGAAGATGGAGCCCATAGGGGGGCTGATTTTATTAGACTAGGTGCAGACGTTCAGGGAAGCAATTTTTAGCCCCTTGGCCCCTTGCTCCACCCAAGAGAGAGAACCTTCCCCCCCACCCCTCAGACCAACTAACCCTCCTTCCTCCCCATCCCACAAGCTGTTCCCACAGCTGGTTTTACCAGTATTTGCTGGTGCTGGGAGCCAAGGAAGCAAGTCAGGTTTGGGGGATGTGCAGGTGGGATTCAGGGAATTTGTCTGGTGTGGGGTGGACAGGGGACAAAAAATAGTCCCTGGGTTAGGAGAGAGAGCCACCCCATTCTGCCAACTGCCCTGCTATGTGGCCACCAGCCCCCCACCCCAATCCTCCTACCCTGACTTACTTAATTCAAGCTCCCAGGACCAGTGAAGGCTGGTAGAATTGGCCCTCAGAGCAGTTTGCAGGATGGGGGACAGTTTAGTTCCATTAGTGGGGTGGGGGAAGCTGGTAGGGTCCAGGGCCTTTGGTGAGTTTGGAGAGCCTCTCCAAACCAGCCAACTCTCACCCCCCGCCCCAGATCCCTTTCAGCCTCTCTTCTGAGCTGTGCTTACCACCCCCCCAGCCCTCTAACCCCCCCTGCTAGTCCTCCGCCATCACAAATTACCATAGGTCAGATGACAGTTTTTAACTCAATCTAACCTACCCCTAACCTCCGCAGCTACATACCCTTCCCAGGTATATACCCTTAGAGAGCAAACTGGGCCCTCTCTTGAATTATGCTATTCACACTGAAGTCGGAAAAGTTGCAGCATTTAACACACAAATAATTAAAATATTATTTTGCTAAAATGTGAAATATCAACCTTTAGTTGAGTCTTTAAATTAGAAGAAATCAATTTGTGGCATATTGAACAAGTATATAGAACACTAAGAGTATTAGAGAAATAACTTCTTTTTCTCCTTCCCTTAGACTTGCAGGAAAGCATATCTAGAATACATCGGACAATTGAATTGATGTACTCTGACAAATCAATGGTCCAAGTGAGTAAAGTTTCTGCATGGTTAATATAGATTGGGTTTTTTTGTTTTCATTAAAAGATATGTCTGGAATTCTTAGAGGATTAGAGAGAGGAATAATGGTTGGAGATATTTTATCTGAGGATCACAAGATCCTAATAAGCCTTAATTGAACACCAGAACATCAGAGAAAACATTTTTAAGTATTTTAAGTATTTTAACTCTGGCTGTGCAAGTCTGTGGCAAAACCCAAAACAGATTCTTGTCTGCTCAGCTGAGTTGAATTGAACTCCATGCTACAATTTTAGTTGAACATAATAGAATCTTCTCAGGCTGCCCAGTGAAGGTCTTCAACTATGATGAGATATAAGAAAAATGTATTATTGGCCAGATCTTATTCTACCTAGTAGGCACCAAAATGTGATCTTCTTCCAACCTCAAGTCCATGAAAAAGTGTTAATTCAAAACTGTTAACTCCTTCTGGCTACTTTTTTGTGATTTAGTTTTAAGGCCAGGTTACAAAAAACAGATTTTTTTTCCCCAGGAACTCAAACAGGGTGTTATGTTATTACTCATTTAAGAAGAAAGAAGGAAAAAAATAATTTCTTCTGGGTGTCTAATAACATGTGGAGCAGGACCTGCCCTTATATCTATTTCATCATTTCTTTTTCATTTGATTTGAACATTCTTCATTAAGATGCAAGATTTCATTCCTATTTGGTTAAGTACTACTGAACCTTCTGGCACCATCCAAATGCATCCCTATTAAATGGCCATGTACTTCAATCCTGTTACAATTAAGTATTAGCCATAGCCTTTATTCTTATTAAACCATTTTCCTGGGACAACCTCCTAATGAAGTGATAGTTTTCTGTATAGAAGTGACTTGTGTAGTCATCTTGTGCCCACAAACTCTTCTTTGTGTGCCTTTTATTTAGCAGGTGGTTTTACCCTATTCACTTGCAAACACTATGCACCTTACCCCAAAAATCAGCCCTTAAAAACTTAGGTGCATGTCTTAAGCAGGGGAGACAATTTTTCTTTACTGCAATAGAAATACTGAGGAGTATAAGCAGGGAGACACTACTGCAGGAAGGCTGCCAGCTTCTAGTGCTGCCAGCCTCAGGGAAGGCAGGAGGGAGCAAAGGTCACCATTCAGGGTCAGCGCTGTTGTATCGACTTTCTTGCACAGCCACTGTAGTCAGGATAACTTGCAGTCAGCATTGAGTCGTGACTGGAAAAAATCTTGTTTTCTTCATTCTACCTATCCAAAACAAGGTGCCCATCTAATTTTGGAGTGGGGGAGGGTATTGGAGGAAAATATGGTATTAGTGCTGTCAGTAAATGTAAGGATATATAGGGAAAGACATATATATTTAAATATAATAAATAAATGTATGGGGCAAGGTTATATCCCAAACAAGATGTGAGCATGCCAAGTTGAGGAGAGTAAAAGGAGGGACACAGGTGGCATCCAAAATACTATCTCCTGGAACATCTCATTTCTCAGTGTTTCAAGAGCTTCCATCTTCATGAAAGAAATAAAAACATTTTGGATTACAGTTTAGGAGAATCTTTTTGATGAGGGAGGCTGCTTCCATGGTGGTGGTCTATGCAGTGATACAAAAGCTCTTTTGCAGTATGCTTGCAGTTGCACAGCTAAAGTTTGGGAGGGAGGCTGGAACCATTTTGAGGGCACCTTCCCCAGAGGTACGCATCTTCTCTCTAACCAAAGCCCCTAAGTAGTGCATGGGAATTGCCACATCAAATCAACTCAGTCTACCTAGTCAATTATTCAGTCCACAGTGTAGTCCAAGGATGGCCAGCCTGTGGCACAAGAGTCACAAGTGGCATGGGCACCCTTTGTATAGCATGCAGCAGATTGGGGAGGAAGCATAACTTAAAGCACTAGATTTGGCATGCAACTCAAGGCAGGGAGCAGAAGGCAGAGAAGCAGATTGGGCAGGGAACACAGGACAAGAAGCAGAAAGAAAAGCAGCTGATTAGAAAGGGAGCACAGAACAGCAATTTGGGGGGAAGAGGTTCAGAGCACTTGGGAAGTGTGAAGGGCTAATTTGTAGTGCGCTGCCAAAAAAGTTTGCCACCTTTTTCAAAGGAAGGTGGAGGAAACAATGTAATTGTCATTTGTGGGATTTGTTGCCCCTAGAAAAATATTCTTTCTAACCCTGGATATTTAGAAGGTGGCATGTGATAATAAAATAATAATAATAATAATTTATTACTGTAGACCCTAGAGGCCCTTGGCTGCCTTCATTATCTTCATCCATTCCCATCTGTTGTGTACTTTTATTCTCTAGTTATCTGCATTTAATTTCTATAAATCTGACTCTGCATCCTCTAGCCATCTTTGCCTTAGTTGTCCAGATGGCCTTCTCCCCTCTGACATGCAAATGTCCTGCTTTGCTTTTGCTTCCTGCCCTTTCTCCTGCTGTGCTGCCTGTCCCCTCCCTAATCTGCCTGTGCCACTCCTCGCACCCCTGTAATAGATAATGGCAGTTCAAGCCTGATACTAAATGTTTTGGGCAGATCTGCTTATAGAGAACTTGCCTTAAACTTTCTCCCTGCAGACATTTTTTTTAAGGTTTATGATATAACAAGGAAATTACAGTCTAGATGCCATCTAGCAGTACATTTTTTGTTATTTGAGGACTTGGCCCTAGGTAAAAATTTCTCCTTTTTTGGGGCTATTGGTAGTAAATATGGTCCTGGACATGACCATAAACTGTATCTTACTCGAGGGCTTGGTGTCAACATGCTGGGGCTACTCATGGCAGGGTAGCTCTATAAGATGCCACAATGTTGCAATCTTCAGAGTAAGGCAAGTATAGGGCTCTTCAGTAACTCCACTGCCTTGTGGGTACTCCTTGATTGTATCAAGCCTAAAGGACATCACCCTGACAGAAATGCACCCTCACCGAGGCATTAGGCGGTCAGCAGCAGCTCTAATCTGTTGCTATCTGTAAGAAGCTACTACCATCAAGGCACTTAACTTCTAGACTTGGTCTGGCCTTTGGACTCTGTCTCAGTGGTCTAAAGGTGAGGGTGGTAGATCTAGGGCAGGCTCCATACCCTTTCCTAGGCATACACACTGAAGGTCTTGGTATGATGGCACGTAGACCTCTAGAGGATCAGTGGTTGCCAGGACAAGTAGTAAATGAAATGACCATCTCTGAGGCTGCCTTCAACCACTTAACCAGAATTTTAGATGACCTATAGTCTCCATGTTGAATTGCTGTCACATGATTTCTATGACATGATGCAACACCTGACAAGTTATTTTACTTCTGGATGGCTAGAATTTTATTAGTCGGGATGTTTATATGTTGGGTTAATGAAGCTATTCACTTAAGGTAAAACTGCTTGTGTTTAATAGAGATTTCATGAGGCATTTTGGATTAGAATAGGTAACTCTAGGAATTGATGAAAATACCAAATGGATTTGTTAATACCTGGTGAGCTACTATGCTTAGGTATTTATCTGGAAGCACTGTTATGTGCATTTTTTAATTACAAAATTCTGTAGCCCCCAGCATACCAAACCTTCATATTATATAAACATAGGAAATTATGGCTGGAAGGGAATCCAACCCCCTGCTCAAAGCACGACCATCCCCAGCTAGGTCATCTCAGCCAAGGCTTTGTCTAGCCAGGTTTTATAAATCTCCCAAGGATGGAGGTATGGAAGAATGTACCCCATCACAATTCAGGTAATAGTTCTCTTGACTGCCCTAGTACATTGTAGAGATGGCAGATCCTTATAAATTGATGCAGCAGTTGATTTTACGGTCTAGGTCTGAAGTGTATTTGTATACTCTTTGTACACACACACGTGTACACACACACACGTGTATACACACACACACACACACACACACACGTTTGTGTAATATATATAGATATAGTGTGTGTGCAAAATGGGCTGTATTTGATTTGGACTTGGCCTGAATTGTGGGACAGTGATTTGATTTGTTGATTTGGATCACTGTCCTGATTCGATTGGGCCAGATCTGAAGATTTGGAGAATCAGCGATTCGGCCATAGACACAGCTTTAAATGCTTTTTCTACATACCTCAAGGTACCAGGCACAGCTCATAAATGCTGAGATGATGGGGCAGATGGAGCGTCCCACAGGACTGTGGAGTGGGGAGGCCCTGCGTGCTTGGCAGCGGACCCAGAAGTGCTTCTGGTCCACTTCTGGGTCCGCCGCCAAGTGCGTGGGGAACCCCCCCTGTGCTCCCATGGGACGTTCCATCTGCCCCACCATCTCAACGTCCACAAGCTGCCTCGTACCTTGAGGTATGTAGAAAAAACATTTAAAGCTGTGTGTATATCTGAATCATTGAATCTCTACAAATCAATTTGAAAGGTTCCGATTTTGATTCAGAGAGAGTAAAGGGTCTCCTGATTCGATTTGGATTCGGAGATTTGGCTGCCGAATCTCTTCTGAATCAAATCGGCGACCGAAGCTTCACACAGCCCGGGTGTGTGTGCGTGGGTGTGTGTGTCTTTGTTATCTTTTTGTGTATGAGGCTGTTTTTCTGTTGTTCTTCTGATAATGTGGAACTATTTCTATTTGCTACAGTCCTTGCTTTTTAAGTTTCATAGTTTCATAGTTGGTAGGGTCAGAAGGGACCTGAGGAGATCATCTAGTCCGACCCCCTGCCGTGGCAGGAAAGAGTACTGGGATCAAACGACCCCAG